AGCAAGCTTTATGAGTAAGACTTCTCTAGCTTATCAGATTAAGGAATATTCTTAGGTACCTTAGGGGATGTGTTTCCTCAGGATACAGCTATATTTAATGAGTTTACATACTAACACAGAGGCACTGTAACTCAAGTTACATATTAAATTGACTTCCCAGTAATGCTTCATAAGCACTTTCATCCACTGGGTCACTAGGTTTACCCTCCATGATGTTCCTAACAAAGAATATCACCAGGATTAACAAACTCATCCCATCATCACTGATGTAAGTGATAAATTTGAGGATTTTAATATAAAGCAGATATTGTGAGAAAGTGTATAGAATCCATGATGTCACTTATTCTAGGTATGCCCTGATCTATAAACTCCCCTTGATCTTTTCAGAAGATCATCTCTTTAATAATTAAGATATTTTCTCCATTTACTATTTAATAGTTCTAAGCATGTATATTCAACCTAGAATCAAGCTGTAGTCATTAATAAGTTTTGTATAACTAGCAGTTTATAGCCTCCCTTCTGATCCCAGAAGGACATGCAGCCTGAATCTCTATCTCCTGCCTTATTCCTTTTTTTCTCCAGATTACGAGTCTTCTCATTCTCCTTCACACACATTTTAATTCAGCTGGCAGGCCCAAGACATACAGACTGATTAATATTAATGAAGGCTGCATAATTCACAGACCTAGTAATAAGATGCCTTATAGGAGCTCTGTAGGAAACAGGTATTAAGTCTCCCAACCCTGAGAAACTTTTTCATTACAATATGTGAATTCCCTTTTATGCCTATGTAGCACTGAGAGGTGTATAATCTAGAGATGACCATTGGGGGCATCAACTCTTTTGTCATCTATATGTAATATATGGGGATTCTATGAAGACAATTTATTCTTTCCATATTTATTAATTTATTTTATTAGTCTTTCTATTCTACTTGTTGTTCATTCTTAGTTACTGAGTGACTCCTTCAAGATAAACTGAAAAGATACAGTATTTTTTCATTCCCTTTGCCTGGAACAATTTCCCTTTCTATCATCAGATCATCTTTCACTTTTTTGAGGTGCTTCCCCTGATTATCTCCAAGACTAAGTGAGTCTTGTGTACATATCACTCCCTGCAAAATAACATTGACCACATCTTAAATCATTTATTTGTTGAATACTTATCTCTCTTACTGGAATGAAAGGTCCATTAGCAGAGACTCTTTATCTGTTTTCTGCATCTAGCACAGTGTCTTTTACATTATAAATGCTTATTGGTATTCACATGAATAGATGTGTCTCAGAGTTTAACATTTCTGACTTAATAGACACTTGGTAAAATACCGTGAACTTAGTCATTTAGCAATTGAGCATCTCAGAGTGCATAACACATAATAAGAGGATTTTTTAAAATTTAGGGCACACCATTCTGGCCCTCAAGAGGGGTTCTATAAAGTGGACAACATTATTTGCATACAACAATTAAATACTTACATAAATCCCAAGTACCAAAAGAGTGTGTAGATGAATGAATGAATGATTTAATGAAATGTAATTTAATGAATGATCATTTTAGACTTATATAGACTTGGGTTTAACATTAGACAAGTTAATATCTTTCAGCTTTAAATTTTACATCTGCTCTATTTTGAAATTTCATAAATGAGTCTTCCATTTCTTTAAGTTCTGCTATATCCTTTCTTTTTTTTTTTTTTTTT